GTTTGAATAAAAATAACCATATTTGCATTTCCTGTGTTCCATGATGCATGATGACATCACAACATCAATCAGTGTTGAAACTCAAAAAATTTGCATAAAATAACCATATTTGCATTGTGTTCCATGATGCATGATGACATCATCACCTCAGATCAAAGGTGTGCCTGGATTCTTTGATACATCACTCGCACAAGTCTATAAATATATGTGGAACACGGTTTTGGAAACAGTTCATTGAACTTGTTCCTGTATAATTTTGGTGTTTGAAAAAAAATGGCCCAATACGTGAAAAAAATTGCTTCAGTCTTGACTGAAGGTTCAACCTTTCGAGCACAAATCGGTGCCACTATTAAAGACAAGTCAAGCATTTACAACATCGTAGAAGTCTTAAAATGTGGTCAATTTGGAGAAGTCGTTACTTGCAGAAAAGGAAAAACTGAAGAAGTGTTTGTTTTGAAATGCAAAAAGAAAAACAAATATTCCCGTGCAGACGAACAAGAGGTAAGTGCTTTAATTTGTCTCAGAAATAGAGATCCTGACAGAGACCATTTAGTTAAGTTTATTGAAAACTTCACATTTAAGAATTGTGAATGCCTTGTTTTTGAAAAACTTGATTTAAACCTGCAGGACTTCATGACAAAACAAAATCGTACACCTCTTAAGCTAAATGAAATCAGAGGAATTGCCCACCAAATGCTCGTAGCTCTGAGAGCATTAAAATATGCTGGGATCACTCATGCAAATATACGGCCTGATAACATCTTATTTGTGAACCATCGCTCTCAGCCGTTCAGAGTGAAACTGGCGGGATTTGGGAATGCCGTTGTGACGCTCAAATTATCAGAGGCCACTCTCCCTTTGTCTTGGGGATTCAGTGCACCAGAAATCTTCTGGGATCGTTCCCTGGATGAAAGCATCGATACGTGGAGTCTTGGCTCTACGCTGGCTTATCTGTTTCTTGGTCAGAATTTGTATCCAACAGACTGTGAGTACAATTATTTGAAATTTGTCGTTAAATTACATGGCAAACCAGATGATTCTGTCCTTGACAAATGCTGGCGAGCTCAGGACTATTTCACTCACGATAAAAAGGAAGATACATGGAGGTTTAAAACAACCAAAGAATATTACGAAGCAACCAGAAAGAGAATTAAACCCAGTGTGTGCCCTTCTGATAATTTAGAGTCACTAGATGATTTAAGAAAAACACATACAGACTTGAAGTCAGCTGAACTAGAGGATCTGGACGCGTTTATCGATTTCCTTAAAACTCTGTTAAAACTAAATCCACGGGACAGGGTCTTGCCAAACTGTGCACTGAAACATAAGTTTATTACAATGAACCACCTTCAAAAGGACACTCATGTCGTCTATAGAATTTTAGGATTTAGATTAATGGTCGGGTGCGGATTTATGAGTGTAGATTCA